TTTTTATTATTACGTCGATTATAAAGGACACTATTTGTCGCGAGGAAAGTTTTAGATAAAAAAAAAAAAGAAAAAAAAAAGAAATAAGAAAAATAATTCGATTAAAATCGCTCATTGACGATATTATTGCGCCTTTAAAAGAAAAAAGAAAAAAAAGACAAGAAAAAAAAACTGGGCGTCCCGTTAATTAGACCATATCATAGTGTATTTTAGGAGTAATTCCAATTACGAAACTTTTGCGAGATTTATGAAAAGAGAAAAATGTTTAAATCACGTTGTGGATATTGTGCAGATTTTTAGCTCTTGTTTTACTTTGTTATTCGACGAATTAAAAGTTTGAAAGGTTAGATGAAAGAACGAGAAAGAGAGAGAAAAAGTGATAGATAGAAAATAAAGAAATAGAAAGTAAAATAAAGAAACAAAATCTTGATAATTAAAGGGTTTAGTCTGACGAAATCGTTAAAGTCTTCGAAACGAATACTGCTAGCGAAAGTTACAAAGCAAATTAAAAAATTCACGTTGGAATTGATTCTTATAGTTTTTTTTTTTTTAATTTTTAATTAAAAAACAAATTTTGTTGACACGAAATTAAAACAAAGCATACAAAATATGACTTGAAAGATTGAAAAGAAAAAAAAAACCAAAAAGGAAAACAGATAAATTTTATTTAGCCAAATCCTATCTAACGAAACGTTTGTTAAACACTGAGAAAGAGTAGGAATAATTAATTAATTACGTAAATAATAAATAAATTAATTGATAATTCTCTGCAAATAATATTTGAGATAGGATTTTTTGTATGCGAATAGAAAATACGAGTACCAAAGAATAATAATTGTACCTACGGCGTGTAAAGAAGACAGTGCATGTCCCTTATATTTCATAATTGTTATATTATTTTTTATCATTATTGTTAAAGTAAATAGATATGAGAAAAAGAGAAAGTATGACAGAAGTGAGAAGAAAAATAAAAGCAAGTCATTAATACTTTATACTGCCGATCAATGAGACCGAGAGGTGTATGACCGTATGACACTTTAGCGGTACGATATCAATGTTTTCACGAATTTCTCAAATTTCACCAACCTACGAATAAAATAATTACGAACATTATAATATCAAAAATATTTATTTTTTAAATGTCTAGTGTGTTATATTCTTCTTCTATTAAATTCAAAATGATATTTTCATTTCAGTGGCTGGATGTATACAGAATTACATCGGTCGTTTGTTTATAAATTTATTTGTTTACTTTCACTTCTTTGAGCAAGATAATCATGCCTCTGATGATAAGCAACAATCTACAGTGTGTAACAAAAAATTTGTAATTGCATACATATAGGGACTCGGTAAGTAGATAATTTTATGAAATATTTTCACATAAATTCGGAAGGTAAGCCATATTTATAATAGGTATGCTTGCCATTGTAGATAGGTGACAATTTATATATATATACATTTTCCAAAGCATACGTAGGTACATAGTAGGTCGCAAGTACCCTTTTTTATCAACCAAAATTCATTTAAGTCACTACTGGAACCATCAGTAGGCAAAAGTAGATACAAAACGCGATGAAAATACAATGCTATCAAAGAATACTGTATTTTTTGATAGTATATGATAGAATATATAGTATAGTTATTTGGAAAAGAAATTTAAATAATAATATTTAATTTTTAATGTATAAACATGTGTGTGCCTTCAGAAATGCATTTATTTAAAAAAGTAGTCATTTAAGGCGTTTAAACAGAAAAAAATCTCAGAGATTTGTTGTTAAATCCAACGATGATCACCTGTAACAAAAGGAAACCATATTAATCATAATACAATCAATTGATACAATAGCCTAACATAAATCATCCAATTCGCAGATGCACTTTTCAATTGAACTCTCTATTTATTTTTATAAAATCTTTATATACTGTTGCAATGAAATTATATTTAAAAACGCGTGATTTTACATTTACATAAAATATATATATATAAAAAAAGGAAAAAGAAAAAATATTAAGTTATTGAAAAGGAATAATATCTAATAATTATTATATGAAAGACTTTTAAACTGCATTATACAGAAAAGACAAATTGCAAATTTAATAAAATACGATCACAATAAAAAATTTTAAAGACGAAACAAAAAAAGAGAAATTACTGTAATATTTACCGAACGTTATTTAAGCTTTAAAATTTAATAATACAAAAATTTAAATATTTCTGATTCTAATTAAACACACCTGCATCTTTTAGACGATATAGACACGAATTTGGTGTCCCAAGGAAATGGAATGGTCCATCATCTCCAATTACAACTACAAATTAATGACGAGAAAAAAATTAACACAATAAAATATAAAATATGACTAGAGAGCTATTCTCGAAAAGTTCGAACTTGCTGTTGAACCTTTGAAAATACCTGAATAGTCTAGTAGTTGCCCACTTGATACCCCAAATTTGTGGGGGCCTCTTCGGCATTAGCCTCTTCGGCATTAG